CGGTTATTTTAGGGATATGGTAATGGGATTAAAAAACATTTATATCAAACTTGTTTTGCAAAAGCAAACTATTACGGATCTGTATAATACATATAATGTATACTCATAATTGGAAAATAAATTCAACACATCCCTATTGACGCCCAAAAGTGTCGATGGCGAGGGCACAATGAAAGATTGTTCCAAATTAGTGACGAGACTACTTGATGACTAATTGATAAATCAATGTTTTAAATGTATGTGGGTTTTAACAATATTAATTTGATTTTTATATTTGTATGATGTACATTAATCATATCCATACTAATATTATAAATGCGAAAGTGTGTTTATTTGTTTGTTTGTTTGTCCTTCTTTCACGTCGCAACAGAGCGTCGGTATGGCATGATTTTTTGTATGGGGATAGTTCGGTGGCTGTAGAGTTGTAGAGTGACATAGGTTATTTTTTTCCGCGGAAAAACATCTCATTCCCGTGGGAAAATAGAATATGTTGCAAAAGTTTGTCCTTCTTTCACGTCGCAACAGAGCGTCGGAATAGCATGATTTTTGTATTGGGATAGTTCTGTGGATGTAGAGTGACATAGGCTACTTTTTTCAGCGGAAAAACATATCATTCCCGTGGGAAAATCGAATATGTTGCAAAATTAAATTCAGCTAGGTGGCGCCACCGTGATTCTACAAGACGGACGACGATACGATGGACGAACAAAGAAGGTCAGAATATCTGGATTATTATGTCTTTTTACCAAAATTAAGATAAAAATGTATGGATCTGTATTTTTTCAAAAAAAAAAACAAAAAAGAACGAAATAAACCCCCCAGATATAAAATGGAAAAAAAACCACCGCTTTCACCACTATCTACATGAAAAAACCCTATATTGAAAAAAAAAAAAAGAAAAAAAGAAAAAAAAAAAAGTTCTTATTAACTAACGTATACATAGTTTAAATTGATTCCGCTAGATGTCGTTACTAGGTTTTTAAAACGCGGTAACGAAATGTTTTCTGACATGTACTTAACTTCCGCCGTTGAGCCGCGCGTCAACTTATAGTGCATACGGTACCTATACGCTTAAATTGATTCTATTTCGTAGCTTATTCGACTACCTGCTTTCGATTTCGGTTGTTTGTTATTTGCTTTGTGATTTGGTTAAGGTTGAATGGATTTATATTGGCTTTCATTTTCGGATTTGTGTATTTTCTTGGATCGGTTTTGTTGATTTGGTTGGTATACCTTTATACATATTTAGACTCTAGCTTTGATTTTGGATTTTGTTTATTTGGAATCGTGAATTGGTTTTCGTTGTTTTAGGTCGTTTAACAATATTTCAAAGTAATATTAATAGTATACATCATAGTGTATACGATACCTATATACTTACTTCTTTTTCGTTGGTTATATTTATATTGAATTGAATACCGATGTAATGGGAGGAATGGTCGTTTTACTGAATGGTGACTTTCGTCAAACTTTACCTGTCATTCAAAAGGGCACACCTGCAGATGAAATTAAAGCATGCCTCAAGTCGTCTATATTATGGAACAAGGTGACAAAATTCAGTTTAACTACGAATATGAGAGTGCATTTGTATAATGATATCAATGCTGGAAACTATGCTGACACACTATTAAAAATTGGCGATGGGCGGTTGGAAACGGATGCTGAGGGCTGGATTAAATTGACGAGAGATTTTTGTAATTTAGTACAGAGTCATTCCAAATTAATTGCGAGCGTTTATTCAGATATAACGAACAACATGCATGAAGACAAATGGTTATGTGAAAACGATTCTTGCACCAAAAAATGAGAGCGTTAACAAAATAAATTCAGATATATTAAGCGAAGTAGCAGGAGAAATAACAGAGTATTTGTCAGTAGACACAGTTATGGACTCAGAACAGAGCACTCATATCCCGTAGAATTTCTAAATTCTCTAGAGTTGTCAGGTGTGCCCTCACATAAGCTTCAATTAAAATTAGGCGTCCCAGTCATGCTAATGCGAAATTTAGATGCTCCTCGGTTATATAACGGGACAAGGCTGCGTGTGACACATCTTGGACGGAACGTAATTGGTGCTACAATTTTGACAGGCGTAGGAAAAGGTGAAAATGTTATTATACCACGGAAAACTACAATTCCCACAGATCTTCCTTTTCAATTCAAAAGGTTGCAGTTCCCTATTAAGCTCAGTTTTGCAATGACAATTAATAAAACGCAAGGGCAAACGTTACAGGTAGCGGGGGTCAACTTAGAAAAACCGTGCTTTTCTCATGGTCAGCTGTATGTAGCATGTTCGCGTGTGTCAAATGCCCAGAATCTCCACATTCTTTCCCCGAATGGAAAAACATATAACATTATGTACAGTAGCGTCTTAAAATAGTGTTCAGTTAGTTTTTTTTCCAAAATTCCCACAATCAATTAATCAGAATTCCCACAGATCTTCCCCTCCAATTCAAAATTTCCTATTTAGCTCAGTTTCTTTTCAATTCCAAATGCTGCACCTCTGATGGACCTATTAAGCTCAGTTCCCTTTCAACTCAAAAAGGCTGCATCTCTGACGGATCTTTTATTTGGCTCAGTTTCCTTTCAATTCAGAAAACTGCATCGCTGACGAATCAATTTAGCTCAGTTTCTTTTCAAAAGTCTGCATCCCAGACGGATAATTATGCTCAGTTTCCTTTAATTAAAAAAATATCCCATTTCCATTTGGAATAAACAGGCTATTTTCATGCTTTCATATATGCTGCGTTTCAAAAGATTTAAATAAGCTGACGAATTAATTTTGCTCAGTTTCCTTTTAATGACTGCATCTCTGACAAATCTATAAAACTCAGTTTTCTTTCAATTCAAAAAGCAATGGGTAGTTCATTTCCCAGTGACCATGCAGGCGAAGCCGCGGGTAACAGCTAGTTAATAATAAAGTAACACTAATACCTCAATGGATGCATTGTTTGTAGTTATAATGAATGTTTTGGTTCATTTATCACAATCTTCCTGTATATTACAGAAGGTTAATTTAACCCATCACTAGTGTCGCTTCAAAGCAACAATGGTTTGGTAGAATGTATATTTTGAGGTCTTATCTTCTACTAACTTCATAATTGGAAAATAAATTCAACACATTCCTATTGACGCCCAAAAGTGTCGATGGTGAGAGCATGAATGAAAGATTGTTCCAAATTAGTGACGAGACTACTTGATGACTATTGATAAATCAATGTTTTAAATGTATGTGCGTTTTAACAGTATTAATTTGATTTTTATATTTGTATGATGTATATTAATCATATTAATAATAAAGTAACACTAATTCCTCAATGGATGCATTGTTTGTAATTATAATAAATGTTTTGGTTCATTTAGCACAATCTTCCTGTATATTAATTACAGAAGGTTAAATTAACACATCACTAGTGTCGCTTCAAAGTGACAATGGTCTCGTAGAATGTATATTTTGAGGTCTTATCTTCTAGTACCAAGATGAAGCTTAAATTTGGTTCAATTTAATTAAGTGACATATGGAGAAGACAACAAAATTAAAAAAAAATGTTTTCACCCATTTTTTATAATATCTGATTATAAAGTAGCATATCTATTTGTCACCTAAACTCTTCATTGCTGTTCTAGCAGCCAATTATGTTTGTCTCTTATAAATATTGTTGGCTTTCAAATGGTTATTAAGTAAAACTGAAAAGCTCAAAATAATTTGGATTTACCTACTTAATTATTTTAAAATGCAAAAATGTTATGTTATAAATAGCTCTTAAGAGCCATGTTAGTTATTAGGCTAAGCATTCTCTGTAACTTCATAGGACATGAGGAATGTGAGTTTAACCCTTGCTTACACAAATGGAATTGTTAATTGCAGTTTATTGAATTTATTAAGTGCAAATTTACAATATGTTTGGCGGTGTAGGTAAACATTAAATAAAATATTAAAATGATATGTAAAGTCTGTCAACACACACATTAGCAGCATGGTGAACTAATTGCTCCATTACAATCAAAAATGAGAGCTGGGCTGTACCTAGGCTGTGGGAAGTATATAGGCTGTAACTTTATGTAGCTCCTTGAATTCTAGAGTATAAAGGGAAATATGATTTTTTTTATAGTATAAGGGTGACAAATGAGCACAAAGTCCACCTTATGTTAAGTGGATGCTGTGGCCCCTAGACATCTACATTTATCTTCAATTAAAAATCAAAATGCATTGCCAGCTGAGAACTGAGATGGAATGCCTTGTTTCCAGTAAAATGGGTCTTATAGTACAAGTATTATAGTACAAGGGTGTCAACACAAAATAATCAACCTACCCACCCAGAGAAGTATGGGCAAATATTTAAAAAATATAGTGCATGCCAGGAGCACATTCTTGTAAAGATTTGTCTAGCAGTTAACTTCAAAATGCTTATGTGTCATGTTACATTAAAAATGTAATGTACTGTTTAAATTGATACCGCAAACATGATAATACGTTAATTTTAATATCAGTTACATGATTCACCTAACAAAATGATAAGAAAATTGAGTACTTTGAAATTATATAGGCATGATATTAGACAGGATTATTTTTTATACAATAAGAGATATAGGTAGCAAACAGCCCACCTGATGTTAAATGGATGTTGTAGCCCATGGGCATCTACATATATTCTTAATAAATAATTAAAATGCAAATGCATTGTCACCAAGACATAACATGGAAGATTAAGAGAGTTAATACAATTAAGGGTTTTTAGGCATTTCATCTTAATTCTCAAAGTTGTACCTACAACTGTTGTAACTACAACCCTTAAACAACTGTAACTGGTGTCACAAAATATTTATATTTTGTGACACCAATTACAGTTGTTTAAGGGTTGTAGTAGATTTGACATCAAGTGGACTATCAACATGTTGGTAAAAAGTAAACTCAAAAAAGATCATCATCATTTCTAGTAAGTTTACCAGGATTCCTAATAATTTCTTTAAAATATGATGTAATAATTTATTGTACACACCTGAGCCTCATTTGCCCAGCGCCGGACAAGATCTGGTGCACTAGATGAGAGATGAAGAGCAGATACTAAAGCCGCAGAGCTAACTGCTGGGTTTTTATCAACAATCGCTTGTTTCATGTACCGTTCTATAGCCTGAAGCATTGTGCTATCAGTTATACAACAAAGGGCTCGAATAGCTGCCGCCCTGTAGAGATCTTCTTTACCTGTCATGTCTTTAGTTAATGATGAAGTGACAATAATGACATCTTGAGCTATGGGACTAAGTTCTTTTATACAGAGATAAACCATACGCCTTAACATCACGTTCTTAGATTGAAATAGCTTGGTTGTAGCAAAAAATAGATCCGTTGCTTCTAGAGTAGTAAACTTTTCTCCCTGATTCAGTAGATACAAAATATTACACAAAATATGTATACATTTTCTCGGATTTACCGGAGTCTCATTAAAATATCTAGCTTCTTGCAAAACGATAGTTCTATCAAGATTTTGGTATGGACTACCCCCGCCCTCTTCCTCCTCCTTTTTATCTCGCCTGAAAGAGCTCATTTTGAGCTTTTTCTTTTGAGTTATCAAGAAATTATGGGGAGCTAAGGAATACACTTTTACAAAACTCAATAGATACACAAATATAAATACACGTCACTTTAGCTTATTTGTCATATGTCGTAACTCATAACTGTCAAACGAAAAGGGTGCGTTCAGAAATCAGAATGCATATCTCAGAGTGAATACAAGCGTTTGTATGTAATTTACTCTAAGATGCATACATAATATGTAAGTATGTAATTAATTTTAAGGTTCTGAAATTTCAAAACTACACATGGATCTGAGAACCGAATATTTTGGAGATAAGGGATGGATTAAAACCAGTGACATCAGATCGATTGAGGAGTGAGTCACTGTTACCTAAAATAATTTATATGCTATTGTCGAACATATATCGAGATCATTAATTATACCAAGGTATAACACGACTTAATTCCCCTCTCTTTACATTAACGGACAACTTAAGAACAATAACTAAAACACAACCAGACGCTCACTCAGTTAGTGTTCACACTTTGATTCTTAATCTTACGCACCAAACGTTTTGCTTCGTTGTTCGTCATGTGTATAGCAAGGAAGTGGAATAATCTGCTGGCATCAGATTCAAGCTAATGAATGTCATCGGCTGGTTGTGAAATTAGTCGTGGATGTAACGTTTGTTTCGTTGGAAGGTCACCTTCAGCGGACGTTGAACTATGTCTTACCGTACGGCGTTCTGTTCAGTACCTACAGTATGAGATATCATAGAAGTAGCATATTATGTTTGTTTTCGTAAAATGCGTCAAAAGACACGCTAAAAATGTCCTGTGGTCTTACTTTACTGAAGCATAAAAATAGCGATTTTCTTTCGTAACGCTGTCGATCGATATGGCTTACTTGAAGGCGATTCACCGTCTAACAATAAGAATATTAAATATTTGTAGGACTAATTTGTTACAAATAAACCTGCTTAATCCAAGATTCGTGAATAAAACTTTTTTTAGACAGCGGCACCAGTGTATCGATACGTGTATAATTTGATGGTATGCGTAAATGCACACAAACACAAATGCTGTAGTGTGCATGTATAATGACGTGATTCAATTTTGCATTTGTAGTGAAGTATACAGTAGTGTGTTTTTATAACATACAACCCCCCCCCCCCCCCCCCTAAAAATGACTTTTTGTTAAGAAATTAACGCACCTGGCCTCTCCAGTTGAATACTCAACGGAGAACTAATTCTTAATTCAAAAAATTTATCATATTTTTTTGATTGTTTGATTTTCAATTGCTTTTACATTCAGTATTTGGACTTGAATATATTGTTGAACGCCTAATTAATGCCTGGTACATGGCAGGTTATTATTAGCGCCATCTAGTATCAAGTAGCAGAAATAGGAGCGTCAAAATCTTTCTTGAAAATTCACTAGCGCCTCGTTCACTAGCGTTCTAGTATGGAATAGCAGAATTAGGAGAGCTTTATAGAAAATTGATTGCTACAACTTTCGGTTAGTGGAACAGGCCCTATATGTAGCCAGTAAGGACCTCGAACGAGTCAGTATTAAATTGGCAAATAAAGCGAAAACTTTGAAGCGAAATAAAGTGAACCAAAAGTGTTAAGTGTAATTAATTATTAGTGTGTTTTAAGTTATAATTAGTGTTCGGTAATTAAAGTTTTTTGAACATTAAGCTTGTAACAATTGGTCAGAAGTGGGATAAAATCATGCCGATTTTACCTAAGGACGACACGAAGGGTTTTCGTACCCGAAATCAATGCCAGCAGGAGACGGACCAGAGACGATTTGGTGGTGCAACGCCGCAGACGTCAGAGGGCCAGCCGCCGACCACGGAGCCTGATCCGTCAGCAGCTTCTATATCTGCAGCACCTGACTTAGGTGCTCTGATGATGATGCTACGGGAATAGGCCCGCCGACAGGGGGAACAGGCCTGCTGACAGGAGGAACAGGCCCGTGAGTCGGAAGATCAGCGGGCGGGCCCGTCGATTGGAAGAGCAGCTGCGGGGCGGACAGGAGGAACAGCCCCGTCGGTTGGAAGAGCAGATGCTCGTCATGAAGCACCTTAACGCTATCTTCGTAAAAGAGATAAGGGAGGTGAAGGATAGAGTTGCTCAACGTGACAACCGCCTGTCGAAAGCTGAAACCCGAATCGAGCAAGTGAACAATCGGGCCACATCGACAGTTTTTATTGTCACGAACCCTAAGATCGTAACAATATAAACCATGGAGTGTAGAGGTAAGGAGAACTGTCTCTGTATTAAAAAGTGTCCGTAGGAAAGCGCTAAATAAGAGTAGCGCCACTGTAGCTAGAGGGTAAACTTTAAATAATTTTTGTAACTTTTTATTGCACAGATTTTCACCATAATTTTTATAATAATTAAATAATTGTTTTCGAAATTAACTCTCAACGTGTTTCACGGCGACTTTTTCTAGGTTATATTTACTAAATTATTTTAGACAACGTGAGTAGCTGAAGTTGTAAATACTGCACTGACACTTTTGTAACTATTCTCCTATGTAAGGTTCTTCTATGGTAGGTTGTCATTACCTCTACACTCCATGCAGTGGCAGCCCTAGAAAAAATTTTAGGTGGTGCGAGATTTCATAGTGTCGCCCCTCTAAATACAAAACCTCAGTGTTCCTATACGGTGACTAGTTGTACAGATTATTTCTCGTAATAAGAGTTAATAATCTTGTTTGACAACTTTTATTTAAACTGTTATTCTGTAGACTGTAGCTTTCTAGCTTATGCACTTGCAATTTTTTTTATTAATTCAGAATAATTTTACTTCTGGGCAATAGAATTTTTTATGGAAAAGATTCCAAGATATAATATAGTAGGAATTTTTTTAAATGTTTTAATGTACTAAAACTTCGTTTCCGTTTCTAGACAATTATACAGTACAGGTATTGTCAGCAAGAAACGAAGGCTGTCTACACATTTTGGATAAATATCCCGCCAATCATTATTTTCTATAAGTCTCAAAACTTTATATGGCTCTGCTGATTGAAGATCTTTAAATTATGGGTTCAAGTTCAAGCTAAAGCTTAAAGTAAGCTATAAGTTCCTGAACTAATTTACAACTAGACAAATCATATTATACCCATCTGCTCAACTGATGTGCAAATCAACACAAGCTTTTCGACCGTTCAGGAATTATTTTCATTTTGTATAAAAATGAACACGTATCATTGAGTTTTGAAAGTTTAAATTAAGTAACCAATCCACTTTTAATTGCATCAACCACAGGGTAAGAAACGTTCATTTGAAACAATTCTTTAAGATCAATTAGTGTCTCACCTTCGTAAGCAAATAATATTTTCTTTCTTCGGGGTCGGGTTGGCTTAAAAATTAGATCTATCTGTTATTACAGAGATGAAAAGGCTCGGCACTGTTTCAAAATTCTGACAAAATTTTCAAATAATACCTTTGGTACATCTGGTTAGTTGGGACTTAATTTGCTCATTTCCGCGTAATAAAATATATACAATGATGTATCCTGCTCAGTCTAAAGAGCACCCACCTCCCACCCTCCCTCAGTTGCGTGCACTATCCCCTTCACCACCACTTCAAGCACCACCCCTCCCAGCACCACTACACTAGCGAACGACATACCACCCTTGATAATACGGCATGTGTTTCGCCTCTATACGAGGTATCCTTAGATGAATTAGACTCTGTGGAGGCTGACACTATCTTCGTTACCACTAATCCCATCACCACCAATTCTAGCACGTTTTCCGCTCTCCACATGCTGCTATTTATACAACTCGTTGATCAGCGAGTTATATAAATAGCAACTGATTCGGCTCGCCGCTCACTTACCCTTCATCCACCGCAGAGACTACTTCACCTGTACACAAGAGTGGTGTGTCGTCCCTAGTGTGATGGTACTGGGAGTGGTGGCTACGGCGATAGTGCAGGTAATTAAGGGGGGTTGGGAGGTGCACTTTAGAGTGACAAGAGAGCACAAGTAGTAAGACACATCATTTTATTTTATTACGCGAATATGAGCAAATTAATTTCTAATAACTTCAACTACGTGGATTGAAAAATGCCCGAGAATGTAGCGTCAAATTCTGGTTTCATCACCCTGTAATTTTCTTGCCATATTCGCACCATTATTGTACCCTTGACCTCGACAATCCATCTTGTCTAAGTCATACTACAATTGCATCATCATACTGGTTTGTAAGCAACAATATACCCGTGCCGTGATTTCCTAATTACCGTCAACAAAACGGAATGTTAGTGATAAGAGTGAGTGAATTAGTGACCGGTGCCCGGTGGTAGCGTTTCAGCGTTTCGGTTGATTACGCCCCCCCCCACCCGATGACGGCGCCCGGTGATGTCGCACCGTTCGCACCGCCCTAGGGCCGCCACTGACTCCATGATATACACCTTAAAGATTAAAGAATTTTCAAATACACTTGTATCTGAAAATTACTACCTGACGTGGTTTTAACGCAGCAGAGTCAGCTCACAATGTCAATGCGACCTTTGAAGAAGATACGGCTAACTGTGTAACTAACACTGTGTGTTTTTCGATTAATAGCTTCCGTAGTGAAAACTTCGACTTGAAGAATGAACCACGAAG